GAGCAAGGGACAAATTCCTGGATGCTGTGGGGACACGGCCATGGAATAACATCTCCCTTCTTTGTTTCATGTAGTTTCTATTTACTTACAGAGTGCCATGGTTATTCATGATGCTTTACAAACCATAAAAACAAGGTTTCCACCCTATAGAACTTACAGTGTAATTTAAACAGACATGCGGCACGGGCTGACAGGTCAGGCACGCCGGGAGATGGTGTTGGTGTTATATAACATGGGTGTGGAGGGTTTCTTCTTGAGTTATAAATACTTTCCAGTTACAAGGGCCTTTCATCTGGGATCCCCAAGCACTTTAGAATAGCAATAACCTCGATTGCTTTCTAAACGCACTTTCCATAAACTGCTGTGGGGTCTGAGTAAATGCTTTTAAATGTCTATTAATTGATCGGTACATCTGTTCATTGTCCATATTAAACAGCATGGATGTAAACACGACAGTTTAGGAGAGGCCTGCTCTGGGCTGTGGTCTGGCTGCTCACTGGTTACAGCCCCACCGAGGCCTGGGAGCCTTGCCACGGTGTGGGGAGAGCTGGATGGGCCCCTGGGTATTTTGTTCACTCGACCTGGACTCAGCGAGGCCACTTCCTGGAGCTGACCGCGTAGGGGTGACTTAAGGTTTCTAAGTCAGGTGAGCTCGGAGGAAGAATTTCCACTGGAGAAACCTGGAGTCCTTCCTCGGCTGACAGTAGTGGTTCTTACTCGGGTCTCGGTCACTCAGTCGTTTCCTTCTTGTGCTCCTTACTCTCTGCCCGAGCAACGGCCTTCGCAAAACAGCGACATCTGTATTTTCTTGCAACTGGAATGGAGTTTCCTCCTTTATGTCCCAGTCAAAGACCAATTAAGCGGGTGATTATTCCTGATGATTTGATTAATCCATTCAAATCCAAGAGAAGGTTGGCCTGGGCTGCAAGGTCCTGAAAGTCCTTCATTCTATCCATCCTTTCTACTGTTCTCCAAGTTACCTTTCTAAAACCCAGATGGAATCCCATCACCCTGCCGGCTTTAAAAACCTACCTGAGTGAAGTATGTCAATTCTGTGTCAATGAAACTGGAAATTTGTAAATTTAAATTTAAAATTTTAAAGAAAAAAAGGGGGCGCCTGGGTGGCTCAGTGGGTTAAAGCCTCTGCCTTCGGCTCGGGTCATGATCCCAGGGTCCTGGGATCGAGCCCCTCACTGGGCTCTCTGCTCAGCGGGGAGCCTGCTTCCCCCTCTCTCTCTGCCTGCCTCTCTGCCTACTTGTGATCTCTGTCTGTCAAATAAATAAATAAAATCTTTAAAAAAAATTTTTTTAAATAAATATTAAGAAGTAAAATAAATTAAAAAAAAAAGAAATCAATTCTACTAGAATTCACCCACTCAAACCTATTGTAAAAAGAACCATGTTTTACTACCCACTGCAAACACAGCACAGAAGTGGCTAAGTAAAGCAGTGTTTGAGACTACAAACACTGTAGTATTTTATACAGTCTTTTATTACAGAACAAGTCGAACTAATGTCATACAAGCTACTCAGAACTACTATGTTTTATGATATAGTCCATGTAATTTAATTTTCAGTAATGGATCGGGGCTGTTTCTTCCTTTGAAATTCAAAATAAATCTCATTATGAACCTGTGAACCACTCTGAGGAAAACAAATACAGAAACAAAGTGACGACTAATGTCCTTTTCAAGTCTGAAGTTCTGCGAAAACACGAAGGTTAGGAAATGACCTGCGTTTTCATGACCAAAATGTTTGAAATGATACTACTAAAAATGTCTAAGCAATCTAATTCTGAATCTAATAATTTCTACGTTTTACTGGCTTTACCTCAAAATCTCTTACATCTATTCTTTCTGTCCCTCTCCCACTCCCGCATCTCATAAAATGAAAGAACAAACAAAGAAACCTGAAGAATAAAGTCCAAAGCGCCTTGGTAGGGCACGTGTGGCCTTCATGGCCTTGGCCCACTGGCCTGGTTCTCCAGTGGCATCTCTCCCCACGCGACCTGTGGCTTTGGCTACACCCAAGATGTTCCCCATCTCCAAAGATCTCAGAATTTCCTGTCCACGCCTCCTGCAATATTCTCTTTCATCTTCCCTCCTTGCCATACACTGCTGTTCATCAAAGCCCACCTTTAATATCGCTCCTCTTCGTAGCCCTCTACAAGGCCCACCACCACACAACACCCACCCCCCTCTTGTCCTGGAGTGCCTACTTATCTCCACTTCCATTGTCATATCTGTCACATCCTCTCAGGTGCTGCTTCATATATGCCTGTCTTCTCTACCCTGCTGGGAGCTGCTGTTCCTTCTTCTTTTTTTTTTAGTTTTATTATTATTATTGTTTATTATTAACATATAATGTATTATTTGCTTCAGGGGTACAGGTCTGTGATTCATCAGTGTTACACATTTCACAACATTCACCATAGCACATACAATGTCCATCATCCAGCCACCCTATCCCTCGCACCCCCCCTCCCCTCCAGCAACCCTCAGTTTGTTTCCTGAGATTAAGGGTCCTTTATGGTTTATCTCCCTCTCTGGTTTTGTCTTGCTGCATTTTTTTCCTCTCTTCCCCTATGATCCTCTGCCTTGTTCCTTACATTCCTCGTATCAGTGAGCTCAAATGAAAATTGTCTTTCTCAGATTGATTTATTTCACTTAGCATAATACCCTCTAGTTCCATTCACGTCACTGCAAATGGCAAGATTTGATTTTGATGGGTGCATAATAATCCATTGTATATATATACCACATCTTCTTTATCCATTCATCTGTTGATGGACATCTGGGCTCTTTCCGTTCGTAGTTTGGCTATTGTGGACATTGCTGCTGTAAACATTCGGGTGCACGTGCCCCTTCAGCAGTTCAATTGGTGGGTGGTTAGGGTCTGCTGGGAGCCTCTTGAGGACAGGGGCCATGTACAGTGATATATACTAATGTATGTTATATATATAATATATATATTATATATATAATTAATATATATAATATATATAATATTAATAATATATATAATAATATATAATTAATATGTATCTCTCTCAGTAAAGTTTTGTGGTGGGTCCCTTTTGCATATCAAAGGGGCAGAAAGGGGAAGAGAGGGAGCAACTATTGTTTAAGAGCCCTGTAAACTCTCTGGAACCCTCATTTTGTAGGATTTTTGTCTCACCTGCAGTGAGGAGCTCACTCCACAGTAATGCTGACCAGTCGGCCTTCAGATTATAAAGTGATAAATTCAGCTTTTTGTTTTCTTTTCCTTTTTTAAGATTTTAATTGTGGTAAAATATGTATAACATGAAATTTATCATTTCAGTCATTATTTAAATGTACCATCTATTGACATTAAGTACTTTCATGTTGTTGTGCAATTATCACCACCAACCTCCAGAACTTCCTCATCTTCCCAAACTGAAGATTGAACATTAAACACTAACTTTCCCTTCCCTCCTTCCACCTGCCCTGACGAACACCATTCTACCTTGAGTCTCTGAATTTGACTATTTTAAGTACCTCATATAATTGTAATCCTGTGATATTTTCCCCTTTGTGACTGGTTTATTTCACTTAGCATAATGTCTTCAAGTTTCTTCCATATCGTAGCATGAATCTGACTTTTCTTTCCTTTTCAAGGCTGAATAATATTCCACAACTATGTCACATTTTGTTGCTTGACTAATTTCCACATTTTGGCTATTGTAAATGATACTCACAGGGTGAAATATGGGGTATTTCAATATCTCTTTGTATCTCTGCTTTCATTTCTTTTGGATTATAAACCCAGAAGTGGGATTCCTGGATCGCATGGTATTCATTATTTAAAGAATTGCCATACTGTTTTCCACGGGGGCTGCACCACTTCGTATTCCCACCAACAGTGCACAAGGGTCCTAATTGCTTCATCTCCTCACTAACACTTGGTATTTTTTTTGTTTTGTCTTTGAACAATAGCCATTCTAATGGGTATTGAAATGGCACCCATTGGTTTTGACTAAATTCCATTTTGAACCTCTGCATTCAATGTCCTAATTGTCCATGATAAACCCAATCTATTAAATAGCATGACCTGTATTTATTCCTCGGGAGACGAGCCTGCCTCCTTGGAAAGCCACGGAGGGAGATCTAAAACGAAACTGGGCCTGTAGCCTGTTGTACTTCTTCCTGGAGGTCAGTAGGGGGCACTCTCACAAGGTGGCCCTCGAAGTTCAGTAGACTGATGACAGGGCAGGATGGTTTCTAGATCAAAGCAGGGTTCTAGATGACCCAGCAAAAGTGTCTTTTGGCTTCCGGAACTTCTTACTGCGTCCTGCCCTCATAGTGTCAGCATCAAGGAGAACCAAGCAGCTCAGGCCATAGCCCTGTTTCTCAAAGTGGGTGCTACTGGTACGCGGAGGGGAATTATTCTGCATCATGCAGGACAGTTGTGGAAAGCACCTCCCCGCCCCCTTCCCCCCACATCTCTTAAGAGACTGGGAGTTGCCCAAGTGAGACAGACCTGCAAAAGAATCTTGAGATTCCCAGTATCTGCACTCACCCATGCAAAGTCGCAACTACCATAAAAAGGCCTCATGTCTAGTTGAGAAGATGCTGGAGCTCAGCCAAGGGAAACGTCACAGGTTGCTTTAGGTGACCCAGACGACTCCTCCGAGTCTATCAATGGCTGGTTGACAGTGAAAAGCTAGCCTATCAGGAGAACGGGGAAGACAGCCTTCTAAAAGCAAGAAGACTACAGTAACAGAAAAAAATACCCCAACACCGCTGCCGCTCCTGCAATCAGGACTTGAAATCTGAGCCCCGTCCCTGAACCGTCCCTTTGACCTTCCCTCCCCCCTGCAGTGTGTGAACACTGCCCTCAGCAGTCCCTGAAGAGACTTCACGTCCCAGTGCTACCATAGCAACCAGGAAACAACCTCCGCTCACAATGAGAAGGATGGTGCATGGCCCAGATCAGCATACGCACGCGGCCCCGTAGCAGAGCAACAGGACTGAGGGACAACAAGGGTGCAGGCGAAGAAGAGAGAGAGAGGGGTTGCCCGAGGAGGAGACAATCCAGAGCTTGAGATCAGTCTGGGTTTGCGGTTTATTTTTTTCTCCCGACAAAGACACACACTGTCTAAACTGTGTGGCTGGTTGTTATTAAGAAGCTGCTGTACGAAGGAAAAATGTATTTCATAAAAGGCCCAGTGTTTGTGGTCTTCTCGGGCTCACTGCTGAGCTCAGGAAATCTCGAGGTGTGACCAGTTTTCAGCCTTCAAAAACCAAGATGAACTGCCCTTGAGGAGGGTGGTCAGAAGGGAAACATGTTCACGCTCTCTCTCCTGAGCCGGGGACATGGGAAGTTGGTCCAGAACAAACAGAAGCTAGAAGTCTATTTTGAACCAGAGGTGAGTCTTACAGCTGAATAAAGGCATATTTGGGGGGTGGGAAGAGAATACTCTATTTTTCCATTTGGGGCTGAACCATGCGTGTTTTGGTTTGGTTTGTTAGTGAGGTTGGCGGGGGTGGGGGGTGGTCGAGGGTAGATGTTCCCTCTTCCCTTGGTTAAACTCAAGAAAACAAGAAAGTTTGCTTGCACATCAGTGTTGCCTCTGCGACCCTCTTCCTCCCCCTTGAGCACTCACTTACAGCCTCATTTGCTTTAGACCGAAGGAGATTCCAGACTGTTTAGAATTCAGGCGGTTTGGTTCAAGACCAGAATTTCCACCTGGGTCCTGGGCACGTTGATGGCCGTTTGGTTTTTAGAAGTTGTGCTCTGCGGTTGAAAGACTGTGTATGTTCGTGCCATTTCAATGGCTTCCTTGAACTTTCTGGAATTCAACCCAGAAGACTCATTACTTGACATAGGCAGAAAAAATAAAAATCCATTTTTTTTAAAAATCTCATTTTAGAAGGTTTTAAAGAGGTGGCACAATTCCCTTGTACTGGAATTTTATTTCATTGAATCCTGCTGGGAATAAGCAACCCAGTGAGGTTCTTTGAAAATGTTTGGATCACACAGAGACTTCCATTGTCATGGTAGCTTGTCGTGATATTTGACCTTTGCTATATTAAAAGACCTATAAAGTTTCAAAGGACCTCTGTGGCCAGTGGCATTTACTTACTTACAAGATATGCAACTACTTTACAGGGCCCTAAATAGCCAAATTAGGTAATGTTACATGGCATCTGGAATGCAAAGAAAGTCTCCCTGTGTAGAGTGATGCTTGGGATGAACGGTTTTCCCCTAGTTAAACTGCCAGCGAGTCCAGTTCTAATTTCAAAGTTATCTGCTGCCCTTGATAATTGTGACTACTTACTTGCATGCCATACATGTTAACTGGCCTACTGAAGCCTCCAGGCATGAATGGCTCTGCTAAAAATTCTATGGCGGTAAAAGGGAACCCTGCCTGAGGTTCTCCTGATTCTGAGATGTGGAGAACGAAATCCGTTGCTCAGAAGAGTGGTTGTGTCCTGTGACAGCATGGAAACAACTCACGGAAAATCAGTCACTGCAAAAAGATCAAACACCTTGCACAAGGGCTGTGGCTGTCGAGGGGCCTTGGACTGAGGTGGTTTCTTTCCCCTGCAGGATTACTTGAACTGGAAGTCCCCAGAAGATTATGTCCTGGTCAGCAAACCGCCGGAGGAGGGCGGTGCCAACCAGCACACCTGGAGCCTCTTTCTCCCTAAAACCTTCAGTACCAGGAAGGGGGCCTTGATCCTCTACTCGGAGGGTTTAGCCGTAACAGCATGGACACCGGAGGAGAGGAGAAAAGGCCCCCACCGCCCCAAAGGCCGTAGGAAGAGGCCGGGTATTGAGCTGCACACACTTCAGGACCTCAAAAAAGCCATCCTGGCGTATGGAAGGAGACAGGTAGGCAGAGCAGTCCTGGGTTTGGGGAAGGCGCTGGCCTGCGTGTCTAGGAATCCAGCTGTAGCTTTGGCCATGCCTTCTCAGACCCCAGGGAAGGTACGAAACCCTAAGACCTCCGTTTCCTCATCTCTCTGATGGGACTGTACCCTGGGCCCTCTGGGCCTCACAGAGTTGTCACGGGGCTTAAACAGGATAATGTATGGGAAAGGGCTCTGGAAGCATCGGGGGCAGTTGCTACCACCATCTTGTATTTTCCTTTCCGTTAGAGTAACACAAAGTCCTTTTCAGCTTCAGACGGACCCAGGCCAGCAGACGTTTCATCAGAATCCTTGAAATCCTGCCTCATAGCCACAAGCATCATCATCACACCTCTGATGTTTTTGGCTTTGTGCAAAGGAGAGGAGGAACATTTTAAATATTTACCTTGAGCCCTTCAGCATCTGTAGGAGAAGTTAATGAGTCTTTCCATTCTGAATTTAGTATTAAGGGAAAACCCTTATTTTTCTGATTCATACTTTCTAATGTCTTATGAGATGTCCACGCAGTCCCTGATTGACATGCACGATCTCTTTGGCTGAGGCCATGAGAGTCTGGGAAGATGTGTCGCTTTATACAATTCTAGGTTATAGATGTTGGGTTACCCCCTAGTTTTTTGTTTTTAAGATTTTATTTATTTATTTGAGAGAGAAAGCACAAGAGAGAGCAGAGAGTTGGGAAGGGAGAGGAATGGAGGGACAGAGAGAGAAGCAGACTCCCTGCTTAGCAGGAAGCCTAATGTCCGGCTCCATCCCAGGACCCCGAGATCATGACCTGAGCCGAAGGCAGATGTTTAACCAACTGAGCCACCCAGGCACCCCGATTACTCCCTAGTTTAAAAGTCTGCTGGCTTCTCGTTCCCCACAGGCTAAAGTCATTAGCTTCTTAGGCCAGGCCCTTCCCGCTGACTTTCTCTTCCAAAGCTAGCCGCACCTGCTGGTTGTTCTTACCACCACGTTAACTGTGAACCCCTCAAGAACCCACCTGCGTGAACAGCTCACTGTTCCCCAAACACTCCGCACCCTCTTCTGATTGTATGCTTTTGCATCTGCTTCTATGCTCCTGCTTACCCTACAAAATACGACTCAGATATCATTTCCTCACTGAAGTTTTCTCCCATTTCTCTAGGCAAAGATATCCCATTGCTCTCCCCTCTGTAAACATTCCCATAGTATCGTTCATTGCAATATATCTCTTTGTCCATCTGCTACCATCTCCTTGAGGGCAGGGACCATGTCTAAGTTCCAGAAAATAGTGAGTACCCCTAACTGTTTGTGGAATGAATAAATCGATCATGTAGGGTATTTTCAGTGCTTCTTCCATCATCTCCCAGTATCATTACTGGGCAACTTACCACCTACCCCTCCCTAGACAGAGCTTCCAAAAGGAAAGATTCCTGTGCCCCCTTTCCTTCTTTCAAAACACAGAGACGTTTTGTTGTTGTTGTTTTTAAAGATTTTATTTATTTATTTGACAGAGAGAGAGAAAGAGAGGGAGAGAGCAGCAGAGGGAGAGGGAGAAGCAGTTTCCCTGATGAGCAGGGAACCCGAAGCAGGGCTTGATCTCAGAACCCTGGGATCATGACCTGAGCTGAAGGCAGATGCTTAACCAATTGAGCCACCCAGGCGCCCCCAAATACAGAGAAGCTTAATGATGTGACCAAATGCTCATTGTCCTTTGTCTTAGAATCATGAATTCTTGGTCAAAAGGAAACCAATTGTTATGGAAAGCTTACTATTATTTTATAGCTATTATTTCATCTTCACGGTGACTCAGTGACATACGGTTTTTCTTGCCGCCTTCCACATATGAGAAAACTGAGGCTCAGAGGAGCTAAGCAATGTGGCCAATGTCTCAGAGCTAGTAAGTGACAGAGCCAGAATTCAAGCCCAGGGGTGCCTACCTCCCCAGAACAGGCATGTTTGGTCCTTTGTCCTATTGTCTTTGGGCTTAGAAGGGCCCCCAGAGGTCATCGTGCCAGGCCGTGGCCTGTCTGCCCTCACATCCATTCCTCACCTTTACTTTGCTTTGCACAAATGTGGGGTTGAGCACAGGCTATACACAATTCCACAGACATCTGTATCAACTGGCTTTTAGTTGAATTTGCCAGTGGGAGACGCTGGCAGGAGACTGGAGAGGGAGGACAGAAAAAACCAAGGTATTTCTCCCCCTCCATTCTGTCTGTAGGTGGTGATCACCTCTGTGTCTAGCTCCCCACAGACAGGCCCGGTGTGGCTCCTCACCAGGTTTCTCCTGCTGGGGACCCCCACCTGCTCCTCCCTCAAGCCCAGGGACGGTGCTGGCTTTTTGATCATTCATCTCAGCATCACCTGTCCATAGTTCCGGCTTCCGAGCTCTCTAGTCATCTACACAACCAATTCCCAGAATTAAATTTTTGCTGTGTTTAAATACTAAGAGTGGTTTCTGCATTCGTGGTTCAACCCTGCTGTGTAGGCTACCTTACTGTCAAGAGTAAGAATACCTTTCACAGCTTTCCGAAACTTGACTATTTCAGGCCGCCTAAAGTAGGAGAGTCTATTTGGGGATGGGTTAGACTTGGGCTCAGTGAAAAGAGGGGAAGTTCCCGGTCCTCCCGTGGTACCCACCTCCCAGGTTTATAACCCACACCCGTAACAAAACAGAACACTGTCACCTACCCCCGGGTGGGTAGAAGGGAAACTGTGTGAAGAAATCAGAAAGGAAAGAAAAGAATAGTTACAAGGAGGAAATGTAAGATTAGAGGACGTTGTGGGTTGAAATAGGGGCAGGAATTTGAAGGGATTTGGGATTAAAGAAAATGAACAGCTCAGGAGAGCTTTGTAAACTACAGACCACCATCTGATTAGGAAAACTACAGACTGGCAAGAAGCTTTTTACATCATAATATCCAGTGCTGAGAAGGCTGTAGGGAAATGAGCTGTCTCATACATCAGGAGCGCACAGTCACATGAGTTTTCTGAAGGGCATTTTGGCAAAAGCCTATGAAGAGCTAATACTCTGATTCGGCATGCTACTTTCAGGAATTTGCCTTAGGAAATAATCAGAGATGTGCCCGATGATTTATGCACAGGAATGTTTACTACAGGTTATTTATTACTATGCAAGACATTGAAAAGAATAAATGTCTAACAATGAAAGATTGATTATATAAATTATAGTATAGTCATATAATGAGTTTGGGGTTGGGGAATAAAGTCATGTGTTAGTCATGAATAACATGATAAAATATCCACAGTACATTCTTAGGGCAGATTACAAAGGAATATTCATCTAATGAAAATATTGAAGTCCATTAATATTTTTTGAGTATTTACTGCATTTCTGCTAACTCATGTATGCTTCCTATCAGTCCTGAGAATGTACTATTACTATCCCATTTTATTTATTTATTTATTTATTTATTTGTTAAAAAGATTTTATTTATTTATTTATTTGACAGAGAGAGAACACAAGTAGGCAGAGAGGCAGGCAGAGAGAGATCAGGCTCCCTGCTGAGCAGAGAGCCCAGGACACTGGGATCATGACCTGGGCCAAGGGCAGAGGCTTTAACCCACTGAGCCACCCAGGTGCCCCTTAAAAGTCATTTTTATTTACACATACCTTTTTACCAAACATTATTTTTTTAAGTCATGGAATTTAAAAAATAAAATAAAAATCTACAGGGAATCTCTCATCTTTATATTGATTCCCTGTGTATATATATGTAATTACAATAGATTTCCTCCTGGTTAAAAAAAATAAATAAAATAAAAATTTTAAAAAGTAAAGATCTACTAAAAAAGTAAATATCTATCCCTTTGAAGGAAGTAAAACAGTGGCAGAGAGAGTGGGGTTAACCCTAAGGGAGCCAGGAGAGGTCAGGAAGGGAAATGAAATAGGAAAAGTGCTGTAAATTGAGCCCACCAATAACCACTCCATCTATTTCTCAGGGTCAGTATTTCATTATTCAAATAGTATATAGTTCAGGAGTTAAAAACACCACAATCAAAGTAAAAGAACCAAAACAGGGCAGGAGGGAAGAGGAGATAGTTAACAGAGTAGTATTACTTACAGAGGGATCTATTCTGGCTAAACTATGAAATCAGGAAACCTGCGAAAAATTCCAGCTCGTTCAGACCTGTGGTCCTAGAGCCCATCGCAGGGAGCTGCGATTAAATTTTTCAACCATCTTCCATTATCTCCAGTTCCATACATGGATATAAAGGCATGGGTGTGGCAGTACATCTATCTGGGTTTCATAGTTCAACAAATACTTACTCTTTAACCTTCTTGATGGCCCAACTCCTAACGAGCAAAGGTTAAGTGCTAAGTCAAGTGATTAGATATCAGAGTTCTCACACTTGTAGATACACACAATATGTTGCTGATTTGGTTTTTTTTTTGAAGGAGAAAATATTGTTAAAACATTCCTGAAGCGGTTACCATTTTTTCCTGAGGGTTTGAATTCATTCGGCTTCCCATTATTTAGAATTTGAATAGCTCTAAAACCTAAATAACCATAATCTGGGGTAGTATTGAAATGATAGTCATGATGATTCTCTTGAAACATGTCAGAATCTTCAAATACTTCTCAAATCATCAGAAATATGACATAATTTTCCCATTGTTTTAGTATGTCTTGTTCTTTTTTACAAATATATTTTAGTTTTATTTGGTTACAAAGAGTGTGAGCCTTTTTGGGTTTTGGGGTTTTTTGTTTTTTCTTAAGTAATCTCTATACTGTGGGACTTGAACTCACAACCCAGAGATTAAGAGTTGCATGCTCTATCGACGGAGCCAGCCAGGTGCCTTAGTATTTTTAATTTTTTTAAAAGATTTATTTATTTATTTATTTAGAGAGGGACGGGGAGGGGCAGATGGAAGGTGAGAGAAGATTCCCTGCTGAGCACGGTGGTCCATGCAGGATGCAGGGCTCCATCCCACGACCCTGAGATCATGACCTGAGCCAACCAAAAGTCAACCAC